AATACATACATGTATTATAAAATAGTATCAATCGAAATTTCTAGAATAATATCACTTGACTGAACGCAAAGAACAAGTCATGTCGTAACCAATAAACAGATATAATATTAAAAAAATGGCCGTTCTTGGTGGAAGTGATCATCGTATTCATAGAAAATATAATCGTTTTCATTGATTGCATATCAATCACAATATATTTAAAGTTGATGTCTAATGGATTAGGCTACATAATGAATCTACTCTTCCTATGATAAGTCATGGGTTAGCCTTAAAGATCTAATCTAATATTCACTTGATTATAATTAGTTTCTACTTTACATCAAGATATTTAGACATGAATAAGATTTATTTACATGGTTACACTCAAAAATACTTAAAATTTAGTTAGTCAAAAGTTTTTTTTTTTCACAGATTTTAGAGAACTAATCCACTGTCAGCAGATATTAAATTTTCAATAGATAATTAGAAGTTAGTTAAAGCAAAAGCTTGTCACATTACTTGTGTTGGGCACCGTTGTATAACCATGTGAACAAGGAAAGAAGAAGGTTCATCGATATTTTTCTTAATTTGCCATACAAAAGTGACGAGAAACTTTCAAGACAAAAACAACAATACACAACTATTATAACTAATTAGGAAGTTTTAATTAATAAACAAGACAATTTTGCACTTTTATGTAGTGAATAAAAATTCTTTTTGATAAAATTTTATTTTTCACTAAACATACATAAAACGACAAAATATACTAGCGAGAACGAAAATATGATCTTTGAGACATGACATCATTTTCAACATTTTTAAAAGCCCATTGATGCTCAACAACAAGTAAACCTTCTCGTTCAGCTTTAAATGCTTTTGATGAATCTTGTGGCATCGATACAGCGGCCATATTCATTTGATCTTGCATCATTTTTGTTTGATCAGCTGCATTATTTTCTCCAAGAAGTAAATTATTAATACCACGTTGGCCAAATATATTGATAGCATACCAAGAAACAGATGATAGCCTAATCGAAGAAAAAAATAAAACAATTTTGTTTTTAAATAATAAAATCAAAGTTATTTAACTAACCAACTAGCATCAAGTGTTACCAATTCAACACCACGTTGTAACATTGGTTTAAAACGATATGTTAATGGAAAAGGTACTTTAGCTAAAAAAATATTGAAAATAGTTACCTTTTTTTAAAAGTTTATCTGACCCGGAAATCTCTTACGGTGTGAAATCGTTTTTCAACTGAGACAATGTTCCTTTCATGAGTAGTAAAGATGGATAAAAAGTCTGAAGATGCTACAGAAGCTAAAACTTTCACAATCAACCAATCTCATTAAGAACTCTTTTCATGCTAGGTTTGAAGGTCCAGTAGGGAGACCGCAGATTTTTGTTGCAACATCGTATAAAATTTCAATATCTCAAGAACAAACATTTGAAAAATCAAACCATTCTAGACTTTTCTATTACTCACTAGTACTCATCCAATCAACATCGTCTCAGTTGAAAAGCAATTGAACACCTGAAAAGACTTTCTCACAAGTTCTAATTCTTTTCATCAAGATTTTATGTTCTACGAATTTTTCACAGATATAATGAATGTTTTTTGTTTCCGTTGCATAAAAATTTTCTTAACGACTATTCATACTTTCATTTTTCTCACTGAGAATACATTTTTGAATAAGGATTTTTACTGTTACGCTTAACGAAAAAGATTAGAACTATTTCATTGCTAACAGCTTCATTGTTCAGTTGATTTCTTAGGATACATACTACAAAGAAAACCGCTAAATGCCCAATTAATAACACCACCAATGACAATCATAGGTACCATGTTTGATATATTATTTTTAAGCATTTCAGTCATCATTGTTGGATCTAAAGTATTAATTTTACTTATACTTTTATGATTATTATTATTATTATTATTATTACCTGTAATTGGATTTCGTATAGGTTGTTGTCGACCTTGTTGTTTAGTAAGATATCCACTCTCTTCATTAACAAAAAAATGTTTTCGCATAACAAAACCCTATTTGAAAAGAAAAAATATTAATATTCAAAACAAAAGAAAATCTATTCAACACTAAATGAAACCTCTTTTGGAATATATTTTCCATTTTCACGTAAAATTCTCGTTCGAATAAGTGCTTGACTAAAATATAAATAAGCAAAATTGAAAATAAAAATAAACTATTATTGAAAATTAAGACAACGAAACTACCTATCAGCTAATTGTTGTTTATCAACAGGTTTTTCGCCAGCTGTAATTATTGAAATATAATGTCGTAGCATACCAACAAAAAATGTGATAACCACAATGGGCATAAATACCCAAAATCGAATAGCTGAATCGAGTAATAATTCGACCATTCTATTTTATTTATAAATTTAGAAAGAAACAAATATCTGAAACAATGCGAATGAATTTTTGTATTTTTACTGAAAATATAAATCTTAATTTTCTTGGATAATGAGATCAACTTGAAAATGATATATACATATTATTCAAGCTCGATCTAAAGCTCATTGATTTTGTCATTCAATAAATTGACTATGCATCATAATTAGATTCATTATCTTTTTTCTTTATCAAATTAAACTTATCTGATCGAGTTGAATAGCATAAGAAATCTTATCAAATATATTTAAAGATTTTTGGCATGAATAATCTATATATATTTGTTTTTTCTTGCTAAATAATAATTATTATTGTTCTTCATTATTGTATGTATAAGGATCTTCATCATCAAAATATTTTTCTTCTTCATCACGTTCACGTATTTTAATATCGTCAAGGTTTTCATTATTATCAATTGATGTATAATCAATATTAGAATCTTCACCATTAAGAAATCTCTCTGAAACAAAAAAAATTATTCTTAGAATAAGTCTAGATACATTTTGATTTTATTTTTTTGGCAATAAATATTATTTATTTTGTTGACTTTATTTATACTTGAGGAAATTTTAAACTAATTAGTTTTATGAATATAATCGTTATTCGTTATATCTGTGTAACTCAGATTTATCAGGTTTGAAATATAACTTAATCTGATACATAAAATATACGATATTGTCTTTTTTATTTGACAGCACATCAAATTTCAGTATAAGCTTAATCCTGTATCATTTACAACAGCTTGCAGAAGGCATTTTTAGTTACTCCAGTGTCGATGTCATAGAAAAACGAGGAATTGAAAGACAAGAGAAACATTGATTTTTTTTCTTTTATAACAGTATTCATGTTACATATTTGTTCGTACAATCTTCCGTATACCGCAATACAATGGCAGTCAGAAAATACTCGACCGTTTAAGTATCAAAACTACTGCCGATATAGCGTACATTATACCGAACAATTTTCCGGTGGACTTTGCCCATTGTGAATCACATAGGAAGGTAAAAGCAGCTATTATCTCATCATATTGGAGTAATAGAACAATGATCTTGTCAAAAAATCGTCTATTTTTCAGGTATTACATAACTACTGAAGGCATTTTATCCGTGTTACATGCTACTTAAACTTCACGTGTGATTAAGTGAGAGATCCGCGAGAAATCAAATTTATCTTGTTTCACTTTTACGCTTTTCAAGTCATTATGACTTTCATAATTTTTACCTTGTAGTCGCTTTAGGGTGTATTGTGTGAGTGTAAGTAAATGACAATGAAGAGGACACGCACACCCAGACGTATTCACACGCTAAAAAGACTAAAGCGATTAAAGGTATTAAAATATTCTTACAGTTTTGAAAGGTACGTAAGTATAAAAGTAAAATGGGATAAATTTGATTTATTGAAGACGTATGCTCCGAAGATCTATAACTGCCTGAAGGTAGAGAATATTTTGTTTAAAAAGAAATTATTTTGTTTTCATTTTTCTAGCTCATGGAATTTATTCGAAATAGTCAGCAGTGGGACAGTACAGAATTAAAGATTAATTTTTCATTGTTAATATAACTTTGAAGTGTTTTCTGTCAAATTCCATATAATTGAAGGTTCTTTATTGTTCATTAGTACTTTTATGAAACCCAACTCTCCGCAATCTCTTAGCAGAAAAAAATAGCGTGATGATTATTCTTTATATGCAAAACTCTCCTAATGATAATGAGTATTTCCTCATTGTCTAAAGGAAGCATTTGAGAATTTCGAGTCCGTGACAATTTTCGTTCTATTTATCAAGATCTATCTGTTTTAAGAAATTTATAATTATTTGTCCAGCCGTTACCGAGAAACACGCGAGGAAGGAAGTTCTCTTACGTCTACTAATGTATCCTTGTTATTATAAAAATGATTAAAATATAATAATCTTTACCTTTTTGCATCGCAAGAAATTCTTGTCGATATAAATTTCTTTCTGTACTTGAATATTTGTTTTCATTTTCATCATTATCATTATCATCATCATCTTCTTCATCATCTTCACTTTCAATATCATCATCATTATCATCGTCATGACGTAAGTATTCTTCATTTTCATATTCTTTTTCCACTCTTTCTTGATGATTAATTGCTTCAAGATGTTCCATATAAAAATCAGCTAATGGACCATTTGCAGTTCTAGTAACTAATTGATTTGCTTCATTACCCTTATATTTTGCAATCATTTGTTCATAAAGTAATGGTGATCGTTCTTTCATTGCTTCATCACTAAAATATGACCCATCTGCAAGTAATTGTTGCATATATGTATAACGACGATTAGCACATAGTTTATGACGATTTGATTTTAATATTTGACAAACATAATCAGCATTTGGATCAAAATTTTGTTTTATTTCATCATCAGTTAATAATGAACCAAAACGATAAATAAAATTAGCTGGATTTGTTTTATATAAATGATTAAGAATTTCATGTTTTTGTTCATTGGTAAAATCTGGTTCATTACGTTGTTGTGAAGCAATAACAATATTACTTGAACAAATTCGATCAAACATAGGTGTTAGATTCATCTAGAAATAATAAAACTATTTTAAAAAAATCACCATATAAATTTATTTCAAATCATTTTTTAATAAATTCTTCAGCTTTTCGAAGTATATTTTGTAAATTTTCATGTTTAACTAAATTACATGCATCATGTAAATTTGACCACTTTAAATCTTGATGTTCATCAGAGAGATTTATTTTTTGTTGAGCATTTTTAAGACGTGCTAAATAATAATAAACATCTTTTGGTTTTCCATTAACATTATAGGTTATTTTTTCTTCGAATTTATCACAATATTCAAAATCATTTTTATCTAAACCAGCTTCTTCTCTTGTTTCACGTTCAGCTGCTTCTAACGGAGACTCATCATTATCCAAATGACCTAATCAAAGCAAATATAAATTAATTGAAAGTTACAAAATGTCAATCGGAAACAGTTTGTCTGGAATGTTGTTGTTTGATGTGCAGACTATTTTAGTTGTCTTAACCTTATAAGCAATCGTAAAGATTGAGACAGATGATTTGTGTAGTATGAACTATATTAATCGATAAAAAAAAAGACTAATATTTGCCTTTTTCCCATTTGAATGTTTTTTTCTTCCCTAGAGACCCTACAAATTATACTAATGAAAATCCTAAAATAATTTAAATTTCTATTCAATTTTATCTTGAAATGATTTCCATTTGAAGTTCTCACATATAGAAGTTTGTACGGAGAGTTTCAAGCTTGCTATATTCAAGAAACGAACTTTTCAAAATATTCTTATATAATTTACAGTGTTCTGAAGAGCATCTATTTTTGAAAAATTCATAACTCGGAGACATAAATTCCAAAACATTTCCTACAAACTACTATGTATGAAAACCTTTAATGAAGAATGTTTTAAGACAAAATGCAAAAGCTTCCCTAGATTTCAAACTCTTCTAGAGTTTTCATTAGAATACTATTAAGTAATCTATAGGGAGAAAAAAAACTCATTACAATCATAACAAAGCATCTCAGAACGCTGTGTCGTTAGCAATTAGAATGATCTATCTTGTCTAAAAGCATAAGTCTTCATATAAACTATAGATTTTTCTTTCTCTTATCTTCATTCAACAACTAATCAAATTTTAGTCTCAATTATATTTTTAAATTCTCTTACCTTTTGGTGGTGTCCAATGATGTTCACCATAAGAAGTTTGTAATAATAAATATTCAATTGAATTTTGTTCGACTTGTCGAAATATAATAAATCCTGCAGCTGCACTCATATCTAAATATTCAAAAAAAAACCTTCTTTGCATGTTATTAATCTATGTCTTACATATTATATGTCGTTAAGTTTTAGAACAAAACAACAAGAACAACAGGCAAAAACAATATTTATTTTTTTGAGTAAAAGACAAAAAGAAATGCGCAGAATAAAGAAGTCATGAAGAACTACGAATAAACGAACAATAACACGAAAAAAAAAACGCGACAGAGTAAAATTTAGACGAAAAAACAAAAATATAGAGAAAATTCTTTGTTTATTTTTCAAACAAGAGAAAAAAAAGGGAATACATATGCTAACAGTTGAGCAAGTGCGTTTGCTACTTTAGTTTTCCTAGATTCTTATTCGATCTTGACAGCAGCATATATTTTTCTGACAAAAATATATGATGCAATAAAACCAATTGTACCCGTCAGAGTCCAAAATGTAAAGCAGATCAAAAATGTATAACCAAAGTAAAGCATTATTGGAATAGCTTCAGTAATATCGAGCTGAAAAAGAAAAAGAAATTTCATGAAAAGTTTTTTTTTTTTTTTTAAATTTTAATTACTTTTGTGAAAAAATAAAAGATTGAATAAGCAAATACATAAAATGCTGAACCTCCTGATGCAATAAATGATCGCCACCACCAATGATAATCTTCTCCACATAATTGAAAGTAAGTTATGACAATTGAAATTTGTGAACAAGATACTAAATTGAAAAAGAAAAAAAAAACATAAAAATTTATTCATCATTTGTAATCATTTATCACGTACTTATTATAATAATAAAGACAAGAAAGAGAAAACCAAATAGATAATAATATTGATTTTCCCAGATGGCCGAAAAGATAAAGAATAATTCAATAAACATTGCACCAAATGGAAGAACACCTAAGGAAGAATTTATTTTACAGTACTGGTCAAAAATATAAGACTAATATATTTTTGATTGTTTTCTGAGACAAGCATTTAGGTCCAATTCAAATACTGGTTTGAATGGTCAATGAAGTTTTCTAAAAAATTCAAAAATCGTAGTTTTCAGATCTTTGAAGGCTAAAAATTAGTTTTTACGAGTACCATCTGAAAGAGCACATAATTCTGTGGAAAAAAATGAGCAACTGCCATATTTCCTAAAGTCTTCCCTTAAAAAGTTATAAACATCACAAAAAAATGCGTTTTTCTGCAATGCTGTGATGAATTTCGCTTTGTGATAGCTATAACTTTTTAAGGGAAAGTTATAGGAAATGTAGCAACACCTCATTCAATTCAGGATTTTGAGCTTCTTAAGATTGACCTCTTAAAAATAACTTTCACGCAATTTTCGGGGTTCCAAACACAATCATTTAAGACTTTTCAGAAATTTTTCTTTCATAATCCATGTATAAAATTTCGATATCAAATGCATTTGATAGAGAACTTCATTGGCTATTCAAACGACTATTTGGATTTAAGTTAAATATTTTGCTATCATAGAATATGATCAAAAACACATTGGTCTCATATTTTTGTCCAACATTACATGTTCGAATTTCTAATCCTCAACAATTACTTACCAGCCATTAAAGTGCTAAAAAAAAAACAAAAAAAAAAGATAATAGTTAAACAGTAAAAAAAGCCGAGTGTTGTCTTTTTTCGTTTATTTACCTTAATACTGGATGTAAAAACCATTGTTGTTCAGGTACTTGACGTGGAATTTGATTTGTTCGAACTGGTTGATCATACGGCTAGAGAGAAAAAAATCATATATATTTTTTTATAATCATTTTTCTTATACTAACTTGTTTACGATAACCAAAATAGAATCCAAAACAAACCAATGGAAATGAGATGCCTAACCACATGACAAGTATAGAAAGCATAGTTGTAAATGGCACAGCACCCGATGAACGTTTTCCCCATATGAAAAAATTTAGAAAAAAACCAATACCAAATACAACTGCTGGATATAATGTAGCAGTCTACATGAGAAAAAAAAATCACTAAAAAAAACTTAAAGAAGAAAAAAAAGCAAAGACATACTAAAGCTGCTGTTCGTTTCCAATTTGATCCTTTGATTGTCTTATATATTCGACCCGAGTAGAAACCCGCAATAAGACTAAGAAAATCAAATTAACTTCTGACAGTGATTTTTATTATGCGTTTTTTTTACCCCATAAATACATAAAGAAAACAAGCTGCTGTAATCAATGCACCACGTGAGGATGGTGAAAGCATTCCAAGAGCACCAAAGACTATTTTTAAAAAAAAAGCAAAAATTATCTTTATCTTTAACATTTTTTTGTCAATACAAACCGATAACAATCAATGACATTAAGAAAATTTGAATACCAGAACCAATGAGTGCAGCAAGAAAATTTTTACCACGTGGTGGTCGAAATACATCACCATGCACTCTGAAAATTAATCCTAATTTTTTTTTTCTTCAAGAAAAAAATAAATTTAAAACATACAATTTCCAACCAGTTTCTTCAGTAACATCATCCTAAGTAATGAAAAATAATTTCTTTTTTTGTTTTGTTTTAAATATTTAAATTTAAAACTAACTGAATCTTCTTGATTATATCGTGCGATATCACGACGAAGTGTTTTAACAATAATCATTGATAATATACCAGCAAGAAAAAATACAACAATAACTGAATTTACAATTGAAAACCAATGAATTTGTGCATCAGTCATTGCTAAATATGTATCCCATCTAGGAAGAAATTAATTGAATACGGATATTTGATTTTCTGAATTTTAGATAGAAAGGATACCTTCGGATAAGATCGTGAGTCTATCACTTGGCTAGAATTCACTCTTAATAGGATAGAAACATACAACATAAAATTCGTTTTTTGGTCCCTATATTTTGTTTTTGCTTTGTAAGTTCCAGACAAAAATCAAAAGCGTAGGTTGATGTAATTTGTCATACTGTACATAATCACATAGTGATCATGTTTACTTCTAATTTTTCTCTTTGATCATGCAGAGTCAAATAGGTATGATAACGTACATTTTTTATCTATCATAGCGTAAGAGAAAAGTTAATCGTAAACATAATCGCTATGTTATTTTGTAGGCTACTAAAATCTGCTTCAATCTACGCTTTTGGTTATCATATGAGGTTTATAAAAAAAATTATAGGGACCGACGTTATTAATTAACTGAGAAACTCACAAATGATAGACCCTTATGACTCCATAGTCCTCAAGAAATTTTGTTTGTGCATTCAACAAAAGAAAATGTACCGAATTTCATGTTCTACCTTTTTATCCTATTGAAAGGGAAATCTAACTGGATAGAAGGCTTATGATCTTATCCGACGGTATCCTTTATTTGTCTTTAATCTACTCATTTACCTACTGAGAAACAAATATGCTTTACTTCCACTAGAATTTCAGAATACTCAAAGACATTAATCCGTTTATACAAGGTGAAACAATATTTTAGTGTTAAGAGAAAAGTTCCTCTGTTTATGTATTGTTTTTATTAGTACATACCGACTTGCCCAACGTGTTTCACTAGATGCCCATTCAACTTCATAAGTCATTGTTACTGTATTTTCCCCTACAAAATAATTATTGCTTTAAATAATATTCTTGTAAAAACAGTAAACCTTTTGGATTAATTTGTTGCATTTCTTGACCACTTTGAATCTTACATGTTCCATCATCGTTAACAGTTATACGTTTTGAATCAATACTTTTTGGTTCAACTTCAAAACCAACAACTCGATAAAATTCTCTTTAAGAAAAAAAAATCAAAATTTAGTTTCAATATCTAAGATTTTGAAAAAAAAACTTCTTTACTCAGATTCTTTATGATAATATAATTTCATAACTAAATGATTATTTAAATAAATATCTTCTGTTTGTTTTGTATGTAATCCTAAACGATAACCATGTTCATAAAGAACTTCATAAGTATCAACATTTTGAAATTTAGTTGCACATGGAAGATTATCAACAAGACTAAGCAAAAGAAAAACAACATAAACAATCAATCAAATAAAGAATCAGTTCTTACAGGTGAACATAATAACTTTTTCGAATACGTTTTCCCAGTGTAGAACTTTGCTGTGAAGTTAAAGTAATATCTTTGCAAAGTGTGTGACAACGAACATTAACATCCATTCCAACCTATGAAACAAAAAAGCAAGAAATAAAAATTTCTTATGTTTTAAAATTTAATTACTTTAAAGTTTGTATTAACAATTCGATCACCTCGAAGAATTTCGCCTAAAATAATCAACAATAAACAAAATGTTCTTTCTGTTTATGTAAGCAATATTGTTTTATCTTTTACCAAGGTTTTCTGATTTATATTTTGTTCCATTAAGTGGTTTACAATGAACAGCTACATCATAATAATCATATGGTAATTGTGTTTTTGTACTTGTCATTTTAACAGCCTTAAAAGAATATTAATATTATGTCTTTAATTTATTAATCAATAAATAATGTTTACTTTAACTTCAACATTTTCTCCTTTTGTAAAATCAAGTGGAGCTACACCGGGAATGTAGAAAGTAGTAATTGGCTGCATACAAAATATGATGCATACTAAACTAATATATGCCATATTAGCCATCTGAAACTGAAAGTTTTCTATTGTGCTTGAGAATGAGGTACACAATAGAAAAGTTGAAGGTGAAATTAATTGGCTACGGTGAACGCAATCAACCTGAAAAATAAGATTTGAACTAAACGAATAGAAAAAAAGAATACGAGTAAACGTCAAAGATAAAAAAAGACGAAATAAATAAATGATTGAATCATCATCTATTTATGTTTTGTTTTTTATTGAAAAAATAATATATTGTTTATTTACAAGAGTAAAATTCATTTCTTTTATTTCATAGATTTTTACGGAAAATATGTTAACTTGATACGAATCAACTGTATTTATTTTGCATAATAAATCATGACTAAACAATACAGATGTCGCTAGTAATCAATGAACCATGTTATGATAAACGTTTGTTGTCACTTGTATGTTTCGTTAATTTATGTAAAACCTCTATCAAATTTTATCAAAAATTTTCGGCAAGTGATTCAAAGAAAAATAGAATTTTTTTCATTTTGAAAACATAATATTGTCTATGGTTGAAGAGAGATATCTAACAAACATTTGCTTTCGATAAACCGTATAAGACGTGTTTTGATTGAAAATATGATTGTGGTCTTCTAAATGATAAGCATTCATCCAATTTACAATTACTAAACTTGAGCTATGCATGGGAGATACCATCTATTGAGACTGAAAACCTGCCACTACTGCAAAGGTGTTCAAAACAATATTGTATAATCATGTGAAACAACTTTTGTCGAGTAATGAATCCCGTTTGTTCCGTCTCGAGGATTTTCAAAATAGTTCGATTCCGAATATTTCACAAGACTCTACATATATTCTGATTGCTATGTGGACAATTTATAATATATTGATACTAGAGATATGTGGGACCAAGTTGTTCTCATCTATTGTATGGGTATATCAAGTTATGATTGCAGTAGGAGTCGAAACCATGTATTTTTCTGACACTCACCAATTAAAAAGTGAATTTCTACCATCTTCGATTCTTACTTTTAATTTAACTTTTTACTGATTTATAGAGGATAATAATTTGAACTCTCAAAGAATATTAATAGTTTTCTATAATATGACACTTTTCTTTTTATGTCCTAACAGATACAAAAGCATGGATGAAGACAAAAAAGATGTATAGACGCAATTGGAAAAAGTTTTCAATGACAAAGAAATGAATGAGCTATCTTTTGAGAGAAAAAGAGTTTCTTTGCATTATAATCCTGATGAGAAACTCGAATGGAAACCCGAGAAATCCCAATTGTCCCGAGAAATGTCTCGTAGCATTGCGTGGGTTGTATCATATATCATACCGTGAATAAAACCACACTTATCTTATGTCAATTGATTTCTTGTTGAGAGCGCTGTTGATGTGAACATTTACAAACTCTAACAGAAGCCATTACACATGAAAAGTTGCCTTAAAATTAGGACAAGAATTTCTCGAAATCGTAGAAATTTTGGAAACTCCACTAAGAACAGCTACACTACTGGGATCAAATCATGTTCATATAGTTTCTTTGAGGTCGTAGTTTTAAAATGCAATCTGTTTATGAAGAGAAGATCATAATAGTTGTATATACCAAATTAATGGTCTTCGGTAAAATTATTTTGAAAATTCTAGTTGTTCTTGATGATTTCAGAATCTCGATAGCTTTTATAGTGATAGTCGAGAGGTCTCTTTTTCTGTTGTCCTTTAACATACAGTAACAAGACCAGCAAGTCAATAAATTTTGAATCTTGTTTTTCCGCAAACCGTAGCGATCTATAAAAAACGATCCATAATCTTTAATCTACCAAAGTTTCAGCTGTCTAGCTAAAAACTAGTGCTAAAATGCATGAATAAGATTAACGAATATGAATTTTTGCACTAGATTTTTCTAAATATTTGTCAATCACGATAGAGCTGCTAAATAGTTTTTAAAACTGTATAGTAATGTATTTATATCTAAAATGATTTAGATTTAATAACAAATTTTTATCTCAAATATTCAGTAATTACAAAAATAGAAAAGAAAACGATAGATGAAATACCTTATCAATTAAAATTAGTCATAGGTAGCTTGCTGATACACATTAAGTTTTAATAATAATTAAGTTTTTTGAAAAAAAACTTGCCTTGTAAAGTTTATTTTCATCGAATGTTTATAAATATCACAGATTAAGAAATAAAGACATCACAAAAATTCATGCGTGTTAGTCTTGTTCATGCCTTTCAGCATTAGTTTTAACTCGAGAACTAAAACTTTGAAAAATTAAAGATTTTAGTTAGAATTCTAAGTAATAAAAATTTCAAACTTTTACGTCATGGAAAAAAATGTCGTGGACAATTTATCATCAGTTATCATAGGATACTCTTCATATAAATCTGATACATCTAAATGATCCATCACTGCAAAACCTTATTAACATTGTTGTTGATCCAATCGTAGCCTGTTTTTTTTTGTAGTACGAATCTCATCCATAATCAGTTGACATAGTTATGTAAAATAAGAAAACAGATACTTTTGACTAGATAAAATCGATATTCTATTCTAGAGAATATTGTTAATCGTCTTTCCAAAAAAAATCATTTTGTTAGAAATCATATTTGTTCTACTATCATACGTCTTTAAACTCGTTTAATGTCAATTCAACCTTGAAATTTAGTTTTAATTTGACATAAATATTTAGAAAATATTTTCAAACACATTATCATTATTAAAAAACAAAATTCTTTTCAACAGATAAATTAATTAATCAAACAAGAAATGATCAGATTTATAGAAAATTATATATTCAGTTTTTATCAAATATGAGACAATTTTGACATATATATATATAGAACTTAAAACAATATATAAGCAAAACCATAATTTGTGTATGTCGAACGAACAATTGATGATCAATCGATTGTCATTTAGAATGTGACAGCTAAATACACTCATAAAACATTAGCATTCATTTATACAATTGAGATAAAAGACAAAGGATATAGGATTAGTAGTCTCAGAAAAAATAAGTTGCCTTGTTTAATCCTATAAATATAATCATACCAATACAAATATCATGACATTGACTATACATATGGTTTCCATTATTAGATAAATGTGTGTACTCGAAGACACTTCGTAGGACTCTTAATGGAGTGCCATTAGAAACAAAGTCATCTACAAGTGTTTGTAGCAAAAACTAAAACTATTGATTTGCGTATAATACATATTAGCAAATGAAATCTCAACTCAAAGGCTCTTCTATTATCTGACAATTGTTTAATATGACAATGTTTGATATATTCCTATAAATCCTCATTTATTTTTTGTCACCTGTAAATTACATTAGACAAATAAATCCATTAATTTTTATTATAAATAACTAATGATTAATGAAGGCTCATTATCTTTAGTAGAAGCTTCTATTTTTGTTTTTTTTCAAAAAAAAATTACTTTGTACATCATATCAAACAAAGATAATTACATTGTCTGTAGAAAAAACAGTGCAAACTTTAGCTTTTTTCACGACATTTTTATATTTAAAAATAAATGAAATATCGAGAGCATTCAATTTGTCTGGAACAATTATATAATTCTATAAGGAAAAAGACAATGTCACTACTTTTTTAGTTATTCAATAAAATATTTCTGCGCATATGTAGAAACGAAATAAAAAAAATATTTCTGTCATTATAGTCAGTAATATCAACAAAGAAAAGACGAGCAAGACCATAATTGTCGTGTGACCTTTGAAATATACCAAAGAAGGCGAGAATCTTCTTTCATTGATTGTCTCATTTAAATATATCATATATACTTAATCGTTCTTATATCTAATGAATGTTTCTTTCTTGTTCTTTTTTCCTTTTTGTTCCAAACAATAATCATTGTAATACAAACAAGAACAACAAAAAATACATATATATCTGTCGAACAATGAATATGATTGATAAGATTTAGTTCGAATGTGAATATCGTGACGATGAAATGGGTAATAAACGATGACTCAGATAAATACTATTTTGACGTTCTCGTAATTTCTTTTGATTGTACGTTTCAATACAACGTTGATTAAATGAACAACAGAATAGACGAACAACTTCATTACGAAATCGTTGACCACATATAGCATAAACAAAAAAATTGACACAAAATGATGCAAAAAACCAAAGACGAGCTATGTTAACTGCATCGAGCATCCATGATGGTTGTGTTTTAATAAATAAAAAACAGAATAATAGTAAATGATAAGGTAAATTAAAGACAAGAAATACAGTTGAAGCTGCTAACAACATTTTAGTTGTTTTAGTTGATGCTGTTCCTCGACATTGTGTTGAACGAATATGAATTGATGTATTCTTATGATATAATGATGTATGTTTTTGTCTTGGATGATAAGGTGCTAAACGATTATTTATTCGTCTGTATCGTTGAATTGGTCGAACACATAAAAACGATCGATTTTGGTGCCGTAAAAGACGATGAGACTCATTAGCAATAGCATTATTATTATTATTAATACCATTATCATTATTTACTTGAGATATTTGAATGTTTTCCGTAAGTGATGAACCTGATGAATTACTTGATGATTTTGTTGATGTATTAACAATTGGTGTTGGTGAACCTGATGTTGATAATTGATGTTTGTATGTTAATTTTGTTTGAAGTTTATATACAATAGTTAAATTCATCACTGAAATAGATGAAAATGGTATAATAAATGTAAATAATGTATCCAAAACAAGAAATGGAAATAATAATGGTTTATTTCGATCTTCTTCACAATGAACAATATTTGTTGAATTTGTACGAGATTTAGTTGTTGTTACAGAAAATGATAATGAATAAAATACACAAGCAAATATTAATAATGTTAATGCTAATATACGATTTGTACGTTGTTTTAAAAAAGTTGTTGCTTTTATTGGAAATAATACAGCTATAAGACGATGTGTTGTATAAGCCAATGTAAAATTTGATGATAAAAATGATGCTATATGACTTAAATAAATTGTTAACATACAAACAGGTACAGTCATAACTGGTGCATCTAATTCATCAAGTAAAGCAACGATAAGTATAAATATAAATACAAGATCAGTAACAGCGAGACAAGTAAGAAAAAATGATGAACGTAATGAACGTAAACGTCGTTGTGCAAAAACAATAATTGTTGTTGTATTACCAATAAGACCCGTGAGGGCAATAATAAAATAATAGACAAGTTGGAGTTTATATGATAATGCCATACTTATATTAACAATTCGAGAAGTAAGTAATGACGAAGTGTAGAGTAATGTAACAGACAAAGAAACAGATGTCAATGAAAAGAAAGAACTATTTGGTGTATTGAACGTATCAAGCGAACTAGGAAAAAAAAATGAAACATTTCTATTCATCTTGCAAATAAAAGTCATGGCCTTGTCATCTTAACCGATCTTTTCACATTGTCTTACTCATTAAAAATGAATTACTCTAGAAGAAAAAATTAACAATTTCCATTGTCTAAAGGTGACACATTGTTTTTTAGAATCAAAAAATTCATCTATCAATCTTATGTCAAATTCACATTCTATTTTAATCTACTAGAATATCGAATAAATTCAATTCAAAATAAAAAAAAAAGAATTAGAAATTGACTTCATCGAAAAAGAAACATTATTCATTTCTATTTGATATATTAAACTAATTGTCATACAAGATAGACATTCAATCTATATTATGAGTATTCATCAAATTTGCATGTGTTGCATATCAAATAAAACAGAATCTTTTCTTTCTTATGAAATACAATTATATGAGTAAGAAATATTTTTCATTGAACAGTATTCTTTGTTATAAAGCACATCAAATTTAGTTTTACAAAATGTAACGAATATTATTATCAGAAATTTTCAATATTATATAGACATAAAAAAAACACATATTGTTACCTGAATTAATAAGACTAGTGGACTTGTTATTATTGAACTTATTAATAATAAATCTTATGACATCATATCTTAAACTTGCCAAATCAAAGATGAACTTGTTTCTTTTTCTTATAGCTAAAATGAATATAATAAACTTATCTCGAATTCTGTTTTGTGTTTATGTCATGGATTAGTTTATTTACATTGTTTTTTTTTTCTTTGGTGGTTAGTATCGATTAAAAAAAAAAACAATTTTATAATTAAAAGAAATAGAAAATAATTGAACGAACATATTCTTAACTTCATCGAAACCCTGGATTTGTATATATATGATTAAATTCAATATTTATTTAAATATTTTACCTGATATTCTTTGTATCTATTCATTTATCGCTTTTGTTTTATCGTTGATTGATTACGTCGAGTTAATCTATCTTAAATATGAATCGAATTCGTTATTTTATTGCATATAATATTTTTCGCGTTGTACAGAGACTAATAAAACAATCCTAATTACCCATGAAACTTCATCGTTCTTTCTCTCTTATTTTTTTTTCTCCCTCTCTCGATATATATATCTCCCTGTGAATGCATATGATTTGTAGAATAATAAAACGACTAACTATGAATAATAAATAAAAGACAAGCGATAGCATAAATAGATACAAGGTTAAGAAGTCGGGTTCTTAGATTTTTTACACTCAATGATCGATTTATAAGAGTTTGATGAAATACAAACAAATAAAATAAGAACCACAAAAATCAAGCTTTAAACTCTTTCACTGATGTTATACAATAATGATTGTGTACTTCTATCGTTCATGTTCATGCTATATTACATATATATATATAGTCATATTTTCAAGAGAGACATTTATTAATGTAATCTACTAGAGAACTTAGAGTTCATTTACATTGCATTAATCGGATGACGTCTTTATGATTAAACTAAAAGCAAAGACGTATCAAATCATATTCAAACTAACAATTAAAATAAAAATTCTTATAGAAAACTGTCTCATATGTCTAAATTAACATTTCATTTCTATTGGTAATTTCTTTCTATTCTACTGTATGCGTTCGAAAAATATGCAATTTATCAATGCACGTTCGTTTATGATAAGAAATAAAAATAGAATTGTTTTAGTCCGATAAATAAAAAAGAAACAAAAAAAAAATAAAGCAATCAAAATTCAATGTCAAAGTTTAATTACCCTAATACAATCATATCTATTTTTTGTTATTGCAAAACAAAAAGAAATAAATAACGTTTTATGACGATACTAATAGTTAATACTATATATATTCTAGCTATCATCTTATAGAACTGATGATTATCTGTTTTCTTAACAAAAATCCAGAGAGACAACTTTTATTAATATTATTATGAATAAAACATACAACCTTGTCATATTTAAAAAATAAAACAGATGCTAAACTCTAACATCTCTATTCAAAATATTTTCTACTTTGTTCTATTTTATTAACTAAAGATTTTCTTAATAAGAAAAAAGAAAATGTCAAACAATAATACAAAGAAAATTCATTCCGTAAAATGATAAGAGTGACTATTGAAGTGGTTCAACATCGAGACATATATTCACAACCGGAACACATACATATCGACTTTTCCGCTTCAGCAGATACTTGACAGGCCGTATGAATACACTCGTTTTGTTGAAAATAAATGTGAATCAATATAACTAACGAATCAATAGTATAGAAATGATTGGTTGTTGAATAGGGAAACGCGTACAAAAAGAAACATAAGAAAGCACTCATCATTCGTTTCTGAACAGAAAAAAAAAGATCAGAAGAAGTCTGCAAGGCATACTTGCTAAACGAACGAGTATTTTAGATGCCGAAGAAGAAAAAAAAACGTGGATGATCTATTGAATATGTCAATACTTGAATTTTCAATTAGTCACACATGAGATAGTTGTCTTGTCTGATTAATATCAGTTCTTTTTTCTTATTTCATATTATTTTTTATCAAAGCGATTGTAATCGAGTGCAAATACAAATGATTAAATTGTTGTCCTTTCTTAAATAGATGTTTTAAATGATATATCTTGCAATAAGATGATTCCTTCTTTTTCTTGTCTCTCTCGAGAATATTCCTGAAATACAATCGTACGATCGAGAAATTCTTCGGAGAAAAAAGAAAAAAAATTCACACATCCTTTTGATACTATTTTTTATGTTACTTTTCTTTTTTCTCAGAGTGATTCTACAATAAAAACACAATATGAAAATCACAACATTGCTTTTCTTTATATCGACAAGATTTCCTTTTTCTTTGTGTCTATAGAGCATAAGTCGACTATGTCTTGAAATTATAGTTGTAATAATAAAAAAATAAATATACATGTTAAAAAAAGAAAAATGTTTTAATAACCTTGTCAAATGAATAAACAATTTATTGTTTATAGAAGCATATAGTACAGATTATTATTATCATCTAATAACAGATGATCGAAACATAATTTGATAAAATATTCGTGCATTTTCCAGTCTGCAACGTGTTCGAAAACATTACATTAGTAGCAACGAAAATTACACTAAAAAAGTAAACATTTCTCTAGAAAAACTGATATAGGAATAATTGGTTTGTTTGAAGTCATTTGTCCACAGTGAGTATGTTGGTAAGGTGCACCGTATCAATTCAAGCAAATTTCTATAGACAATAGATTTGCAAAGTGAATTCGTGAGAGTAGTCTTCCATCTGTTCAATCGATTTTCAACTGAGACAATGTTTATTTAAGGGTTGATAGAAAAGTTTAGAATGGTTTGATTTGCCGAGTCTTCATTGTTAAGATTTCGAAATTTTAGTGGTTCAACAGAAAAAATAGTAATATCCTTAATCGACTTCAAATTTTATACGAACAAAATTCTTAATTAGATTAGTTGATTGTGCAAGTTTTAGCTTTTCTTGTATTTCCTTCCTGGAGATGTAAGTATATGAACAAAATTTATATTTAGACATGAGAGAATTTCAAATAACTCAAAAAAGAAGATACTAGAAAAATTACACATTACTCAATACACTAATCTCATTAAGAATTTTGTTCATGTGTTAAATTTGAAGTTAACACTCGAAAATTGATTGTCAACATGATCTGATGAGAGAATCTAGCCGATTGATAATCTCTATTTAAGCTCATATTTTGTTCATAACGTAGATAAAAATCTTGAAATGATTCGTACTATTAATTTTTTCTTCTTGAATTATGATCATTTTACTGAAATTTCAATCTAGCACACAGGATAACATGAGAAAAATCGCAATAAGAATTTTTCGGCTTGGAATTTCCTCCAACAGCAGTTCTCATGATCTTTATGATGTCCTGAAATGTTCAGTTAAAACGAATGCTTCCTTCCTGAGATATCATGTGTCTAAAAACTGGGTTACTATTATTGCTCTCGTGTGAAAGTGACATTTTTCTCAAAGTACATTATCTCAGAAGAGTAACATCCGTTTGAGCTAAAACTTTGAAGGCGTCATACGAATCATGAGAACTATTGTCGGAAAGAATTTCAGCCCAACACTTCTTGTTGTGATATTTTTGAATAAGTGGGAAGTTCAGTCGAATGGTCATAACTCAAGAGGAAATACTTAATTTCACAAATCCTTTCAGAATTTTTATCTACGCTATGAGCAAAATATTAACTTAAATGTTGATTATTAGTTGAATGGATTTTCTTATCAAGTCATGTGAAAAATGAACTTTTGACTTCAAGGTTAACATGATCAAAATTCCCAAGATGATTTGTTCATCGAGCAAGTTGTTCCTATTTTGAAATATTCAATGTTCATAATTCTCTCATGTTTAAAAGCAAATTTTATTGATATATTAATATTTCCAAAAAAAGACATAGTAGTTGCACAGGCAACTAATCTCATTGAGAACTTTGTTTGTATAAAGTTTGAAGTCGAATGTCGATTCCAGAGACTGCAGCTTTTTATTGAAAAATTTATTAAAATATCGATATCTCAAGAGCAAAGATTCAGGAAAACTAAATCATTCTAAGCTCTTCTATTACTCACCGGCACTCATGAAATGAACATCGTCTTCGTTGAAAAGTGATTTGACATCTAAAGAGATTCTCGAATAAGTGTTTTGAAACTCTTCGTTCTTGTATCACTTTGTAGAAAACAAGCTAACTTTTAGGTTTATACAAAAAAACATCAATAATACAATATTAAAATTCTTGCTGCAAAAATCGTCAATTTTCTCCGTTCAAGCTTATTTTTGCATTTCTAAACAATCAATTCAAATTTCCGGAGACTAAAAGAATAAACGAACGTTATGTCAAATTACATGTCAATAATCTGTTAAATAATTTTATCCTTTCAAAAAAAAACAAAATTTTGTTTTTACGAAATTTTCTATTTTATGATATGAAAAAAGAGTATTGCATGAATATTTTTCTCCAGCCGATATGCACACACACGGAAAATATATCCTGCTGTGCAATCAATCAATCAATCAAAAGCACTCCTCCTCTCTTTTTATATGTTGACAGTTTCCAACTGTGCAATATTGAATATTTGAATGAAACATGAATATGAACAATTGATTGTTTGATAATTTAACCTTTCGTCTTCTTCTATTTTTTTTTTTTTTTGTTCATTCTTTAAGAAAAAATTCCTATTGATGACTATATCGTGCTAGATGAAATTGACATATTAATTAGTTCAATGCACGAGTCTCCTGTTGTTTTAACTTACTCGCTTTCCAACTGTTAAACATTCCTTTTACGACATACATATAATACAATCAACTGATGGCAATAACTTCAAGTCATTCTTCATTTTTTCAAAATATATTTCTTAAGATGGAAAAAATGAAAGCACAAGCACAACAACAACAAACAACAAAAATGATCAATAAAAAAAAATCGTCATCGTCATCATCATCAACAACATTTGCTGTTAAACGAAATTCATCATCAATACTACATATTGAAAAAACACGTCGTGTTGCAGCTAATGCACGTGAACGTCGTCGTATGAATGGTCTTAATTCTGCATTTGATCGTCTACGAACGGTTTTACCATCATCAATGTTTCAACAACAACGACGTTTTTCAAAATATGAAACATTACAGATGGCTCAAAGTTATATAGCTGCACTTCAATCAATTTTACATCATAATACATCATCAGATAATGATCAAAGTCTTACAAATGTGAGTAGTACAACGGATGAAGATATGGATAATCAAATTCATGATTATTAGCAAAAGAAAAAAAAAACTTCAAAACCATTCTTGACTGATTTCTACTATAATCATGATAATTGTATTTTATCAAAAAAAAAAAAAGATTTTGGCTTGACAAAGAAAAAAAATAAAGAGAAAGCAATAAAGCAAAAGTAATAAAGCACAAAACCTGAGACATGGACATACGCACTCACAAACAGGAAAGACACATTTTTTAAAAAAGAAAAAAGAAACAAAAGAAAAAGCTAAGATTAAAGCAGAAAAAAAAATACGAATTAATATTGATGATTTAATCTAAACGATTTGTACGATGACGATGATGTGATTGAATACTGCTCGGTGACATATTATTTGTATTGCTTGACTCTTTTAAATGATGTTCCATATTTGAACGAGCTTTTTGTAAAACATCTAACGTTGGTCGGACTACAAAATAGAAAACAAACACAAATGAGCGTTATTAAAAAATATAATTATTTCAAATTTTTTCATATCACTTGAATTAATACACACAAGAATAAACCTTTTCTATATAACTAAGAAAGTTAAACTATATAGTTTAGAGTCATTATTATAAATCAAGAGATTATATGATGACCTTTGACAAAGATAGTAACAAGAAATTATCTTGTTGCCAATTTCCGTTCTATTTAGAGTGAATAATCTTCGAATAGGTTTCCCACTTGTTAAACATTTTTATTTTATTATTGATGTCATTCTTTTTTTTCTTTATATTAAAAAAACATGACCTGACTTAAGCTAATTTTTATTTTAATACACTAATAGAATGTTATTGAATACTAAAAAAATAGCATATATTTAAAGTTCTATTGTAAAAACTATGAATGTTATTTATAAACTGTTAATGAGTTCGAAAGACAAACATTAGCATTAACAATGACGCACAGAAAAAAAAAATAATAAAAACAATGAAGCAAACAATAGAAATAAATTAATCAGGTGAAATAAAAAACTAAATTGACACATGCATTAAAACATTTAGTTATCTATTAGTGAAATTTATTATGACAGGTGCGAGGGAAATAAATATATATATATATATTTATTTGTCGATTGTTTACACACATAAAAAAAACTTACGTAGCAATGCCAAATAATCGTCTGTATTAGCTTTTTTGTGATTTGCTTTCTGCAAAAAGTTTAGATTAAATAAGACAAACGAAAGGAATTTATGTTTTTTTTTTTCTCCTCATATATTTTTATACAGAAAATAAAAAAATGAAGAAAAAAAAAGTTTAATTTTTAGGAAAGAAACTTACTGTCAATTGAGCAAGTATTTGATCCATATAAGCTGATTGTTCTTTATATTTCTGTCTTAAATTTTGTAACTCTTGAATATATTTTGTTTGAGATATTCGAAGTTCTTTATTCTAAAAATTAAAAGAAAAAAAAGTCGATAAATTTTTTTATTAAACATTTAGTAAAGACAAGAAAATTTACTTCATCAGCAAGACGTGGATCATTAAATTGATGTTCATCATAACTATTCTTTATTGGTAAAAATGCTGGCCAATATGATTCAATTAATCGATAAGTTTGTTCTAAACGTGTAAGACATTGATTAAGAGAATTTAAACGTTGTTCAAGCCATTCTGTTGATGGTTCAGTCATTGATGAAGTCTAATTAGAAAGAAAACAAAAAGAAACATCCCATCCGAATGGTTCTATGAATTATAAATAAACATCCTACTAATTATATAGAGAACATGTCTATAAAAAACTCCCTCTTCCTTTTCGAGAGTTTTCTTTAGGAAGCTACAGGTCCGGATCCAAAATCCTCTATGATTCACATAAGGCTATGACTCATGGGTACAGATGTATAGGAACGAGCAAGGGCTAACAAGGAAATCTGTTCAGATGTCCAATTGCTTTTCGACTGAGACGATGTTTATTTGATGATTATTAGCGAGTACTAGAAAAGTCTAGCATAATTTCGGCTTTTCGTTCTTGAAATATCGAGATTTTACTGAGTTTTTTAACAGAAAGCTGTGGTCTATCTAATCTATTTTAAAGTGTATACGACTAAAGTTCTTAATGAAATTTATTCATTGGACAAGTTGTAACTTTTTCGAGTATCTGCTGTCCTGAAATATTCAATATTCGAAACTCTCTCTCTCTCTCATATATAAAAGCGAATTTTGTTCGTGGAAAGTTTGAAATCGAAAGTCAATTAGAGATACCATAGCTTTTTCTTGAAAAACCTAGTAAAATTTCTATATCTCAAGAATGAAGGCTCAGAAAACCAAATTATTCTAAATTTTACTATTAGATACGAGAAAGAAAAACTCTGCAGTTAAAAATTATAATTTAACGTGCGATGCTTTCACGTGAATCATTTTCTAAGTCATTCGAATCGACGTAAAAAACGACTATGAATTTCACGATAATATTTAATCCTAGATCAGCACATATACGTAGCCTTTTCGAGAAAGAATTTCTTCATTCAATGATGCATTTATTTTCAAATACTGTTGCGTAGCATAAAAGGACAGATTTTTGCTTGATTTTATATGATTCTGACATTGGAATAGCTGGTAACAAAATCAAACTCTATCCTGTCACGTTGCGTAACAGAATTCGATAATATATACATCATACGATAGAGAAGCTTTTTCTCTAAGAATCTACATATGTCTCGTTGTCGGATCAAATACGTAAAGCCGCCTTTAGAAGAAATGACCAAACAGCGTCATTCATCGGCACAATAAAACCCAAATTAGTTTTTTTAGATAGCAATCAGTATCTGTAAAACTAAAAATCACTAGGACTTCGAATAGAGATATACAGGGAAAGCTTGTTTTCGTATCCGGTACCAGGACTGAAAAAAAAAATATCGTAATCGTAACCTGTAAAACCTCTATACTTATCTTAATCTCATAGCGCATATCAGAGATAGGATCCGTTCAAAATTCAAACCGAACGAATCTTATTTTTGTTACACATCTTGACTCATGGATAATCAAAATTACGAACAATAACTTATTCATCACCTATGAACGATTATACAAATAATAAATAAAAGTAATTATTTTTTTCTATTATCAAAAAACTGATACAACGTTCAATCGGCTTAAATATTTAATATCATATTATTCCAAAAAGCTCAATAAAGCTTCAATATACAGTCTCCTGTATATGTAGGCATGCGAAATGTATTGTTTTCTCTAACAATTCGATGTGGTGAAAAATATCTAAAGACTTGTTAAAGTTTTATTCTTAGAATGATTTTATTCAAAGAAGAACATATTTTTGTTGGAATTTGATGCATCAAAACGATCTATTCAAATTCAAGTTTTCAGACGTGTTCCAAACGATCAAATCCAAAATTCGATGAATTTTAGCAAAAATTATCTAATCCTAGTGATCTCGAAAAACCTCTGCAAGTTTTCTAATAAATCTTTTACATTTTAAAACTATTATGAATTAAATAGAAAACCGATTCATATAAATTTATATCTAAACATACAAATTTTGATCGAAGTTTTTCTTTAAGTTTAACTTCAAGTGCTTTTAATTCAATTTTAATATCCGCTATTAATCGTCGAAGATTTTCATGATTTTCTAATTCACCAACAATATATTTTTTTCCACGATCTTAATAAACGAAAACAAAATTCTTCATTATTATATAACAAAACAAAACAACATACTTATTTGTTCAGGTTCTAAAATAAAATAATCAAATATTTAAAAAAAAAAACAAATCAAAAGCAACAAAAAAAGTTTTTTTTTTTTTTCTCATTACCAAGTTCTGTTGTTGATGATCCAAGTGGTCTTGAACGTTTTTCATCAGTCATACTAATTAATGATATATTTTCAGCACCAATTGAACCTGTTCCATCAATAATACGAAGATCAGGATATGAAACACCACGGCCAGAAAATGAAAATTCACGTGCTGTTCGTGATAGACGAATATTTTCATCTAATTTAGCTTGTAATTCATTTTGTTTTTGAATACTTCGTTCAAGATCATGACGAAGACGACGCATTTCTTCTAATAATTCAGACATTTCACTTGTTCGAATTGTCATTTCACCTGTACCACCATCTAAATTTTTCAATCAAGTGCAAAAAAAAGAAAATTTTGACACAAAAAAAAATTAAATATTTTACCACGAGATGATATTTGTTTTTCTAATAAATTAATTTGTTTTTCAAAATGATCAATTAAATCTTTTTTATTATTCATTTCATTTTGTAAGAGTTTTATTTCAGCTTGTAATCTAAAAATTTAATAATTAACAAAAGAGAAATTTATTATTATTATTTTTCTTTTATAAACCTTTGATTTTGATCTTGAGCTTGTTCAAGTTGAGTTTTTGTTGATTTTAATAAATCAATTTGTAAACGTGCTTGACGTAAATCATTTTGTTTAGCATTTAAATCGTCAATCAAATCTGTATGAGTCTTTTCTGATTTGAGACGATATTGATTTAATTCAGTTTCATGAACTTTTTTCAAGCTAAAATATATAAATAATATCAAATTAGGGATTAAATTGAATCATATGAATATACAAATCATTGATAGATTCTTCATTTCTAATAAAATCTGTTTTGTACTGATTTCAAATACAACATATCAAAACGCTCGAAAAAACAATGTTTCGTTCTCGACACTTAATCACACACATTCTATTTATCAAAAAGGTTAAATATTTTAATCTTTGATTATTATTCAAGGAATATACAGATGAAATCCAATAATGACTGATTAACTCGATATCATCATTTTTTTTTTTGAATCCACATCTTGATAGAAACATGCTGAGCTCTATTATTTCAATGATCTTTCTTTTCATTAGATGAATTAAATAAATAAATGAACGTACTCATTAAGGTCTTTTGTTAATTGTCTAATATGATCATCTTTATCAGTGATTTGTCGTTGATATTCTTGTTGTGTTAAAGTATAACGAGTACTAAAATAAATAAAATTCATAATAATAAATATAAATTTTATATTCGAAAATATTTAACCTGTCTATAACACTTTCAACACCACTATCTTTTTTGTTTAATGATGTTTCTAAATAGAAAAAAATAAAATAAAAATATTCAATTAAAAGTTAAATCTTTAATTATTTTATATATTTAGGTGATAGTTAAGATAACAACAGTGGACAAATACACATGTAACGCTTTCTTAGATTGACTTTGCTTAGCAAAATGTTTAAAGCAACAAAAGCAATATTTCAAATCAGTGAATGTATATTAGAGAAGTGAATTAAGTATAAGAGAGAAAAAAGATAAAAGAGTGTGATTTTTCAAAATCAATTTGTAAGTACAGTACATTATTATTCATGATATCCTTCTCTGTTTGTCTAGAAAATTTATTTAAAAAAAATATTTTTAGCAAAAAAAAGAAATCAAAATAAATAATATTAACATACTTTTTATTTTATCATATTCTGGTAAATTATTTTTATTTAAATCAATTATTAAATCATTAATTCTATTTTGTTTTTCATTTAATATAGTTGGATGAAGATCATATTTCTAAAAAACAAAAAAAAAAGAATATAAATGAGAAAAGTGTATTTAAGATGCAATGCGCATCAATGATTTGCATTTAATATAATTACATTTAAATCTAATTTGTTTTAAATTATTTACACCTTAGTTTTTCCGCCTATAAACTTATCTAATATTCCTTCCGTCACGGTTTTTGCATGTCTTTGATGACTCGTACATAGAGAACTTGGCAAATATCTTATAAAGGAAGTTTTCAAATGGATTAATGACTTTTGACTAGGGATCATGTACATTATATAGACTTGAATGAGTTATAAATATCCTGAAAATAGTTCATGCTGTTAGCTTATAGCTGTCGACCTAAGGCATTTTTCACCAGCGGATAGATTTCGTCAATTCTGAATTTTTAGAACTTTTAAAAATGCCGCCAGTACTATCGGAAGAATGTGAGTGGAGCCGTATAGGACTAACTTTTTGTTTTTGTCCCCGTCGCGGCATCCAAGATCGAGAATGATTCCACACACCTCTAGATGTGAGTGTAGGTTGTGATTCTCTCTAAACTCACAGGCACATCCATATTTGAATATCCACGAAAAAGATTGTACTATATATTTATGATTTTTTGTATGCCGAATCTTTGGATGTACGACAATATTGCCGTTGTTTTAAACTTATAGGTAAGCAAAACATGATGATGTCAATTGCGTTTGAAACGCTTGGATTAAGATGTTATTTAAGCTTCAACAAGTTCTTGACTTCCGTGAGTTGTGAACTCATAGATTCCGGAAATGTCTTAAATTATTAGGTTCTACATAATGTATATTACCCTGATTCAAAATTGATTAATTAGTTGAGGAGCGTTCCTCGTCAATTAACAAACCTTGGATAATTGTTCGTATTGATTTGATTTTTTATTTATTTGTTCAATATAATTTTGTTGTTTTTTAATGAGATTTTGATATTGTTGTAATGTTATTCGATTACATTCACTAGTTTTATTGAGTTTTTCAAGTGCATTTTTTAATATATTTGATTCATTTTTATAAGTTTGAATAACAAGATTTAAATTCTAGAGAAAAGAAAAAACTTCATTAACTTTTATTGTACAATACAATATAAACAGTAGGTAGGCATTCCAACCATTTTACAAATACATCAGCAATAATCTCTTCTTTTCATCACAGATTTTGAAAGATGCTTTAGTATTGATACTTTCTAGCTATTCTGTCTTTCATCCTAACTATAATACATAATGATTATTATCGGCATATATCAATGCTCTATCGTGTCTCACATTTTGAATCCTTAAGGATGACACCGACAACTTTTTTTTAAAATGATTACCTTATTTTGTTCAGTCAATTGTTGTAATGTTGTTGATTGAATTATATCTGGTGCATTTATACGAATACGTATTTGCAATTGTTCAATATATTTCTTTTGATTACGAATTATTTCTTGAAGTTCTTCTATATTTTTAGTATCATAAGAATGATCCATTTTTTCATTTGATGTAACCATATTAATAAATGTAGAAAGTTCTCGATTACAATCCTCATCACTATACCGACGTTGTCGAATTGAAGAAGAATCAATTAGACCTAAATAACGTTTTTATTTTATAATATTATAATGAGGGACTATCAGGTTTTATCTATTTATAATATATAATGCGTTTTAGCTGCAGGAAAACTCAGAAGAGTTAGAACTTTACCTGATATGTCACCCTCAACTAGGTACTTGTCATTGGTCTAATCCAGTCCGTATGATGATAAAACATTCAGTAGGGTTTTATAGAAAAATCCCGAAAGCTGCCGATGAGGAAGGGATATCGTATTCATTTAAAAACTACTGTAAATTAGCAGTATCTACGTAGCAATAAGCTAAAGGTACGAAATCATCTTTTCCGGATATTCAAAATTCATTTGAATCGACATGATGGATATGGTCGCGCACACCTCTGACTCCGACTCAAGAACGAGTAATCTATTGGAGGATTTCCCTCATAAGAAGATTATTAAAAAAAAACATTAGTTACGAACCAGCATCATATAATAATTTGTAATATTTCATTAATTTTCGATAATATTTTTTTGATTGATTTTCACAACGATAATATTTTTCTTGAAGACGAATAAATTTATTTTGCCATTCAATATTTGAACGTTCCAAAAGTTCTATTGTCGATTTAATATTCTTCGATGATAGATCAGTATTCGATAGTAATACATCATTATTTAATATACTATTATTCACTTCTAATCATCATAGACAGAGAAGGAAAAACAATGTGCAATCAACATAACAAGTGAAAAGAAAAGTTATTAAGCAAAAGAAGTGAAGTGTTATATGAGAATGAAGGGAAGAAAAAAAAAACAAGCATCGATTTGCATACAATAACGAATCACTAGACAAACACCTGATGATGATCTCGAACTAGCATTGAGCATAGCAAGACGAGTATCATTGACACGATGTTGTTTAGCTTTTAATGCTTCAAGTTCATCATGATAATTGGCTAATTCAATGGCTAATTCTGCTCGTGTATTTGAACCTTGGATATCAATTAATGCATCAAGTTTACGCCATAAAACTTGATTAACATATTTTTGTCGTGCTAGTTCTTTGCGTACATCAAGTAGTTGATTGTGCAATTCGGTTATATTAGGTGTTTTTTCTGTTAATTATATATGCACGTTGAAGAGATGCTTTTTTTTTTAATTTTATAAGCACAAGAAGTAGAAATGATTGCTCGTATTTATTTGACTAATTTCTATTTCTTTTTTCTACTAATTTAGAAAAACTAAATAAACTTACTTGCTAATTGTTGAACTAATCCTTCGTTATCTTGTAGAGCCATTTCAAGTTCATATAGAAGTTCTTCCCGATTTAGATGATCAAAACTTGTCAGGCGAGGACGGCCTGGAAGTAAATAAACAATTTAGAAATATTTTCGTCAATAAATTTTTGTTTGAAAACATTTTAGTTGCTTTTTCAAATTTCTGACGTAGGGTAAGAATTCTAAGGAAATATGTACACTAAAAAGTTTTATATGTCTAGTCTAAGTATAACAAAGATACTTTTAGTTAATAGTGCTTCATCGAGAATAACATCAACCCGATTGATTAAAAGAGACTAGTCATATTCAATTTTTTTTATCGTCTAGTTATTTATGAGCCACATAGTACATTTGCTGTGTGCTAAAACACTGAGAGATTGAGAAAAAAAAATTTTCGAACCATTTGAGCATATCATTTATCAGACATCAAGACTCAACACAATCTTGTATTCAAGAGAAAATGATAAACTTTTTAAACATGAAATCATTGAAGATATTAATTTAGCAATTTTGCTTATAAATAAATTTCATAGTTATTATATAGTTCTGAAACCTTCAAAGAAATAAAACATATCTTTCGTGAGATATTCAATTACTATGTCCTCGTATGGTAAATCATTGTTACCCATGTGTCCCGTCCCGCGGTACATTCTCAATCGGAACAAGCGAAATTCGAGACTCAAAAAAATTTTATCTAAAGAAAGAAACAACGTACGATGAACTTCTACTCGTTGAGCATGTTGAACAGTGGACGAGTCATCCTAAATTAAATAATTTCTTTAGATTATTGGAAATTTGTAAAACATACTCGTCCACTTGAAGATATGTCTCTACGAGCTCGTTCTAATTGTCGTTTAAGTTCGTCAATGTGCTAAAATAGACAAAAATAATAGAAAAAAAAATATTTTTTTAAATTTTACATCATCTTTCTTTTGAAGTTCTAATCTCAAGCCAACATTTGTAGGAGCTCGTGCTCCTGAATATTCACTTCGTGATTCTTCATTGGATTCACGAGATTTTGAACGTAATTTGCTAATAACTGCTTCTTTAGCAATATCACTTTCACGTAATCTCTATAAATTAATACAAATAAGGATATTTTTTACTGTTTTCTTTTTCTTTTTAATTTATTATTTACTTTGATTTCTTGATCTGTATCAGCTACTTTTTTACGTAAAGAAGCAATAGTTTGATCACGATTTTCTAAATCAGCTTTATATTGATTTTCCATTTGCTATGAAAAACAAATAATAATAATAATAAATAAATAAAATTCAAAAGAATAAAAAAAAAAAAAAAAGAACGAGTTGACTCACTTCATAACGAAGTTGTGCTCGATTATAATCACTTTGAATACTTTGATGAGTTTGACGAGTTTCTCTTAATGTTCTATCAGAATCAGATATTGTACGTTGAAGATTCTAAAATATATAGAAAAATTTATTTTTTATTTTATTTATTTTAATAGAATAGTAGATGTGCTTGTGTGTATGAAGAGAATGAATGTGTTTACATTTAATGACTGTTGCTGCTAGAAACTAGATATTTCTCTGTTCTTGTTCGTCTGCTTTAAATTGGTAAAAATAGTTGAAATTTCCTTGTGTTCTTCTTTTTTCTTTCCTTTCTTTCCTTTTTTTTTTTTTACATCAGGAAGCAAATGTGAAAAACCGCACAGTATTTTTTTTTTGTTGCTCTTTTAATGATGAATAATGATAACATATAGTGTTGATAGGTGTTTACGAAAAAAGGCATGAGACAAAGCATGTGCATATCTGTGAATGCGTTGTTGTTGTTTTTTTTTGCATATAAACAATATATATCTTTCTTACTCGAAGTGAATCAATACGATGCTTTCGTTTCTAAATGTCACTCGTAGTATTGTATGTTTTTATTTTAATGTTAATATCTATCTAATTTAGTACTACAGTTTTAATTTAATTCATATGTTACCTGTATTGTATCTTCTTGATTTCGAAGTCTAGCTTTAAGATCATCGATTATATTTTGATATTGAGCATTTTGTTCGGATGATATATTTCGAAGCTAAATTATAGGAAATATAAATATAAACAAGTCAATAGAAAAAAAAGAAATTTTTCTTACATGAGACATTTCTAATTGTTTTTCTAAAGTTTTAATTTTATCTAAATAAGTCTAGAGACACAAAGAAATAAAATAATAATTTCTTTTTTTTTTCTTTGGTTTTATTAACGAACTTCGTTTTCTTCAATTGCAATATTTAAATCAACATTTAAAATATCACGTTTTTGTCGGCAAGTGTCAAGTTCATGTTGTTGAGTCTTAGAAAAGAATAAAAGGAAATTAATTTTGATAACAAAAAAAAAAAAAAAGAAATCTTTTTACATTAAGTGTTTGTTCAGTTTGTTGTAATTTAGCATCTATATTAAGAATTTCATGTTCTTTTTCACGAATAACTGTTTGTAATTCACTTATACGACGTTCATATTCATTAATAGTTAATGTATTTTCATTCAATGCTTGTTCACTTCGTCGATCACGTATTATATATTGTCCTTGTAATGTTCCAATAACTGAAGTATTATCCTAATTTAAAATAAAGAATAGAATTTTCTTTTCGTTGTTGTTTTTTTTAGTGAAATATAAATAATACTATAGAATGAACTTGTCGAGTATTGCCAGGAAGCCTTTCAAATTGTTGATCTCGTCGTTGTGGACTTGTTTCAGTATAGGTTCTAATAAAATGTTCTTGGGTTTCAATATCGTGTTCTAATTGTTCAATTTCAATCTAAAATTAGAAAAAAAAGGAACTTTGCAAAAAAAAACCCAGATTCATTTATTTTTCATAGCAAAATACTTCAAGGTCTAAGTGAAGATCTTTTGGTTCATATGATGAACGAGCATGTTGAAATTCCTTATAGAAAATTAAATATTTATTAAAATGAATAATTTAATTGATTATAATTACTTTGATTATATTATCTTTTTCAAGAAGTTTTCGTTCGAGTATATCGATCTAAATATATATATATGAATCAAAGGAAACTTTTAATTTGTCTAAAAAATTCTGAATAATTATCATTTTTTTTGTTTGTAAAATGTTTTTTCACTCAATTACAAATGTAAAAAAAAAAAAAGAATCCATTCAAAACAGATTTTTTCTATATGATCGATAATATTCAAATGATTAAAACAAAAATAAAATTATAAACATATTTTACGATCGTAATTATATTCATTCTAAAATATTTATTTTCTGAGTATCCTCTCGCATAAAAAAAAACCGCAATTAGGTAGTGTAAAGTATGTTCACAATTCAGAAAAAAAAATCTACTAAAAAACTCAGACTATTGGAGTGTGATAAAGTCATTCAACATAAAAGCATTTAGTAATTTCATTATGAGTATGTTATCAAAAATACTTGGCAAGTAACATATATATATATATTTCAAGAATTAGTTTTAGTAGATATCTTCTTCGTTTTATTAATCGATATTACAAAAAAATTGTTTTGTTATGTCTTTAAAGGATGTTTTTATATCGATCAAAATATCTTTTAAAGTAGACAAACACTCTAATTTCATTCTTGGGAAGGTCGTTTACTCTTTATGTTTTGCACTTATATCAAAATCGTCCACAGTTATTAAATTTAAAAATAAATTATAATATTCAAATAGAATTTTTGTTTTGCTTTCATAGAAAGTATCTTTTAACTATATTCTATCAGTCACGATATGGTCTCAATCTTTCATCTATTTCTTCAAGGCTTTATTTAAAAGAAATAGAAATTATTTATGAATACTATTACATTTACTATTACACAATCAATAGAAACTTTCATTAATCAAAATAGATTTCTTTTCCTTTCTTATGTCCGTTAAAGACACAGTAAAAAATATTCAATAAAAAAAAGAAAATATATTTTTATGTGGTTTTTTTTTTTAACTCAACTAAAATGTGTAAGAAAAGAACGAAAAGAATGATTTGAACATTTAAGTCATTATTATCGATTTGATTGCTAAGTTTTCTTTATTTAAAAATGACATGATATTATCTTTAGATTAAATTAAACAAAATATCAATTACCTTAACTTAAAATTTGTCTTTAAAAAATTGTTTTTCTTTTATAAATTGAAGTAAGATGAGAATGCAATTGTTGATGTGTTCGATGAGAAAATGTGTAAAAAGCAATAATGGACAAAAAAAGAAAACGAAGTCTTTACATTTTCTTCATTCTTTTTTTTCTTCTCCTCTCTACTATTCGAACCAATCAATTGAATATACAAAGAAACAACGACAAATTTGAAGAGCTTGTTTAACTATTTCAATTTATACTGAACAATTACTATTGACATTATGTTTATATGTCTTTTGATGTTTCATTTTCTTACCAATTCCTGTTTGTTTTCAGTAGCTTGAACAACTTCTTTTCGAACACGTTCTTCAACTGCTGTTAAATTTTTCTATAAACAAAACGAAAGAAAAATTTTCTTACTATAAATAATTCATGTTTTACTTGTGTAGAATCACGACTATTTTGTTGTTCTAATCGATATTGATTATATTCACGTCGAAGACGTTCATTATCTTCAATAAGTTTTGCATTCTCTTGACGAAGATCATGAATTGTTTGTTCATACTAATTAAAAGATTAGAAACAAAAAACAAAGAAAAAATATTCATAAGCAAACAATAATATATTCAGTATACTTGATTTAATTGTTTTTCAGCTGCTCGATATTTGTATTCTAAATCCTATAAGAAATAAACAAAGATTATTACATAAGTCATGAAGTTTCTTTTTTCTAAATATACTTGTATACGATCAGTTTTCGTTTTTAATTCTTCGGCATATGAACGAGATAGTTCACGTTCAAGTCCTTCATTTTTCTCTTGTGATATGTTAAGAGCTGTCCTAAGGCGATCGATATCAGTTTTATAGCTCTGATAAGGAAAAAACAAAAGGATTGTATTATATGAGGCATATTAATTATACAAACCTCAATTGTTTCATTTGCTTGTTTTAAATTATAATCTACTGCTTGTAATCGATCTGCAAGCTATAGGAAGAAGCAAATTTAAAAAAAAAATTTTTGTAAACGTGCACGATATTGTTCATTGATTGAACTTTTTAGAAAACAAACTTACACGTGTTCTTTCTGTACTCAATTGCTCAAGGTCATATTGAATAGCTTCTTTGTCTTTACGAACATTCTATAACAAAAAGAAAAATAAATAAAAAGAAAATTTTATTTATTCTATTTACTTGAACTTCACTTTCTCGACGACTATTTAATTGACGATACTGAAAGAAGAAAAGTTCATTTTAATAAAACATATATTACTAAATAGAGCTTTTACTTCATCTTCATATTCTTCTTGAATTTGAAGACGAATTCGAATTGTAAGTTCATCAATATCATGTTTAAGTTGCTAAATAAATACTCAGAAAAATGAGATTTTCTGTTTGTTTTTATAAAATATAAATTTCACATACAACATTTTCATGATTTATAGTTTGATTTTCTGATACAATTCTTTCTTTTTCATATTTTGCAGTATTTAAATCATTTTTTATTATTTCATATTTACGTTTCCATTCCTATAAATGCATAATATTAATAAAAATAAATGAGTAACTTTGAATTATTTTACGTTAATATCATGAATACGATCTTCATTTTCTCGTGATATATCTTGAATATCACGTTTTAATTTAGCTATTTCATTTTGATATCGTTTATCATTATCTTCATTATCATGAAATCGAATTTCATAGACAGATACTTGTGATTTTAACTAGATAAAGAAAAACATGAAAATGAATTCATTAAACATATCTTTTAGTTTAATTACTTCATCATTTCTTTTTGTTAATTCAAACATTTTATTATCAACATCACGATATCGATCTTTAATAGCCTATTTAAAAAAAAAAATAATTATTATAAAAAAAATCCAATATACGAAAATTTTTCTTACTTGATTTTCACGTCTTAAATTTTGTATTTCATCATTAGTATGAGTTCTTTCCTAGAAGAATAAATAATATACCATTGAATAGTACAGCCCTAGGTTAGTTAATCAATACAGTGACGTTTGGAAAACATTATTAATCAGAATGTGCTTTTCTCTGATTTGTAGATAGCTTCTTTTATTATCAAATTCTTATAGATTTTATTATTGGAAAGAAGTTTAAATGGGTAATTCGCATGAATTGAAACGAAGGGTTAATATATGTGAACTGGTCACCAAGTGAATAACATTGCATAGAACAATATACTTCATGATGGAGTTCTCCGATGTTTCTCTTTTATTTTCTTGTAAAAAAACAATAGTAAGCGTAGGAAGACTGTTTACCACCTCTGATAGAAAATTAATCGTCTTCCTATTCCCCGATAAATTACGCTTAAGTTTTTCCCTTCATATTCTTTTTCGAAGAATAATGATGACAGAAATATTTTCTTACTTGATCTATTTCAGCCAGTTGATTTTGATAAATCTATGAATAAAAATATGAAAAATTTTGATTTTGTTGCTTATTAAATTCTTACTCGGATTTGTCCTTCATATTTGTCTCGTTGTTCATCAAAGATTGGTTTTAACTTTTAATATGAAAATAATATTAAACCATGATTAAAAAAACAAATTAAAATAAAATTTTACTCGATCATATTCAGTTTGAAGTTCAGAAAATCGTCGATTAGTAAGATTTAATGCATTTTGTAATTCAATATGTTTTTCTTTTTCAAACTAAAATTATTTTTGTTATTAATAAAAATAAATTCAATATTAAAGATAAACAAATATTTACATCTCTATCTCGTTCAAGTTGACGTCTTTCCTAAAATAATACATCAAAGAAAATTAAAGGAAAAATAATCTAGAAAAGAATTTACGTTTTGAAATTTCGTTTCTCTTTCACGTATGTCAAAATTTAAATTTTCGATCAGTTTTCTTTGTTGCTATTGAAACAGAAAGAAAAAAAAGCAAATAAAAAATTTTAAAAAATAAATACAATATCTTTTACTTGAATTTCTCTTTCCAATGGTTCAACTTGAACTTCCGTTGATACTCTCTGTAAAATAATTATTAAAGTTATTATAAATCTTTGTTAAGAGTATGAAATATTTATTCAATTTATCTTTTTCCAGTTAAGTGTTTTTTTTTCAATTAGAATTCGTCATTATAATTAAATTTTTTTAAAGATAAAATTACGGCAATAAATGACTGTTCTTAGCTGAGAGTAACTGAAGAAGTGTGAGTGGAGGCGTGACGTACTCTCTGGCTTTGATCTATTGATAGCTTATAATACATTTGAACTGTACAAAAATAAAACCATAATTCTGAATTATTAGCTCTTACTAGAGCTCATCGGTTACGGACTGGATCGAACCGTACTTTGATACTCTCAATGAAATTTTCTATTTGGAATTAGATGATCGTCCAAATGATACGAGAGATAGCTTTTTTCGGTGTTTTGTATTCAATGACTAGGGTCCTCTACACATTTTTCAGATGATAAGAGCGCATTGTATCAAACATTTTTGGGTTCGGGACCAACCCGACAGGCTCTAAATACTATCCTCATTTATTCTCCTGCTCTAAGTGTCATTTTCAACTCTCGCCTTCAATCAGGTAGCACAACTGCTTCCGTTTCATGAAAAGATGTATAGTGAGATTTATAGAGAAATCACGAATAAATTTTGAAAGCTACTATCACACAACAGTAGCTCTTGCTAATCATAGAAAAGTTGTTCTATTTTATCTATTTTGGTAAACATTTTCTCACTCATTCTTTTACTTAATCCTTGAAAAATGGAATCAAGAAATAGTTCATATATTATAACGAGACGTTTTTAAAAATACAGTCATATATCGATGAGCAACGCACTATATTTCGACTATCGAAAATGTAAAAAACTAATCATTGATTCTTATTATTCTTCTCTGATACATACAATTTTTTCATATTTTCTTCGTAAATCATCATTTTGTGTGTGTTCCTCGACCAATTGTTGTTGAAGATTCATAAGGTTTTCATTTGCTGTCTAGAATAAAAAAAAAAAAGTAATAAAAATTCAAATAAATTGATATGTAGACAAGTGCATACTCGAAGTTGACCTTGTAAATTTGTTCTTTCCTAAATATGAAATTAAATAAATTCTTTTTCTTTTCAAATGATCATTGACAAACATACTTGAGCATTAATTTGATCAAATCTTTCATAGTCTTTTCGTGTCTTTGTTTGTATTTCTTTCTTTTCATTTTTAAGTTCATATAAAAGACGATCACGATTATTAAGCTATATTGAAAATTACTTAACTCATGATAAAATAATAATAAAAAAAAAAAATCAAATAATTTTACTTCTTCTTGTAAACTTCTAATATCACGTTGTAGTGCTTCAATTTGTAATACGAATTGTTGACGAATACGACTTTCAACTTCTGGTTCGCGTTTTTCTAATTGCTGTTTTATTATAGTATATAGAAATAAGAAAATTAATTTAAAAAAAAAAACATTTGACAAAAACAAAAAGTATTTTTTTTACTCGAATATGAACATTTTTTTTCTCGATTTCATCGTGTAATCGATTGAGTTTATCGTTCCACTAAATTTCAATATATAATAATATTATATATAAAATAAATAATCTATTTAAATCTATCATGCAAATCAATTACAAAATAATTCTATATTTCTTAGCAAATATTCATTTGTAGGATATATCAATATACTTTAGAGAATTCGAAGAAACTCTACTAAACTTACATTAGTTCTATAGAAGTTACCAAAACTTGGAAGGTTCAATCAGATCTAATAGAGTCTTCTGGAATATACTAGAACCTGCTAGTAATCCACTAGGGTCTAATGGAGTTTCCTAGTGCCCATCGGTATCTACCAGACTCTACTAGAGTCTCTATGCATATTTGTGTGTCTTCATTTCTACCTTCACTCTCAGTCAAAATATATGCGCTGTGTGTGTGTGTGTTTTGGATTATTTTGTAATATATTTGCGTCATATAGTGATTTATTTACTTCATCACGATCTCGAATCATTTGTGCAACACGATTTGTTAAACCCGATACATTTTCTGCATCACTTTGAAGTTGTAATGTTATTTGAACAACTACGGTTTGAAGATCCTGTTCAAAGAAAATAATGAATAAGAATGAATACAAAAATAAAATTATGTCTTACTTGAACTTGTCGAGCATCTTCAAAAGTATCAACAGTCTAAAAGATCAAACATGTAAAAACACAAGCGTCTTTTGAAATAATGAAAGATTACCTTAGAGGATGAAGTTGACGGACGTGGTAGAGGAGGCAACTATTTAATAAAAAATTCTTATTATAAAAATAGATTTTATTTTTAAACATACTCCTAGATTTCTATTGGGTGCATTGATAAGTTGAGTTAAACTTTCAACTTGATTTCTTAAATTTTTTTCACTTCGTCGAAGTTCAACACATTCGGCTCGCAATTGCTAAAATGAATAATCTTAAAAATGAATCGATTCGAATATTCTTACATCGACAGTTTCCAAATGAGCTTGCATTTGAGTATTCAATTCACGAATTAAATTTTGACTATGCTAAAAAAATTAAAACAAAAATATATTTTTAATAGATTTATTTCAAAACAAATGAAAATAACTAACTTCATCTGTCCATTCTGATGTTGATGAGTGAGATGGAAGCATCAACGTAAATGGAGTACGTAAACGAACCGTTATTTCATTGATTGCTTCTTCGAGTTGCTATCAGGTTTCAAGAAAGAAAAAGAAAACTTTTTTTTTTTTTATTGTTTTCTTTATAATTTTTACTTGAATTATCCGATTTCGATCATTAATTGCCTGACGATATTCTTCAATATTAACATTCGGACTTGTTTCATCGGGCTATACAAAATAAATAAAATACAAACTTAATAAATTATCGTCTTAATTAATAAAAATTATAACTTCCAAGCACAAAAGAAATACTTGGTTGTCATATATTTTGTTTTTAATGACTAAATTATTGTGAATAATGTAGCTGTTTTATCATCTGCCTTAAAATCATAATATCTGTATATAAAGCATAAAAAAAAAGCAAATGTCAATCGAATGACATAGTGACATATTATAGACAATGTGGTCAAAAATCAGTATGTGTTTTTTATTAAGCATCACAATAGGCATTTTCTTGTAAAAATCACTTTCTCATATGACCATAGTGAAGAATGTAAAATGGAAATAAGAGAAAAGCATAGCGCTGAACATAATAAGCATTGTGAATACAAACCAAAGGACAAGAAAAACGAATTCGAGCAAGTAATGGCTAAAATACAATGTATTTTTATCTTTCTAATATTTATAAATTCTTTTAAGAAAAATAAATAAAATTAATTAGAAAAATATTTTAACTTACTTCATGTCGATAAGTTTCAAAATCCACTATTTGTTTTTGTTGTTGTTCAACCAAAGTCTAACAAAAAAAAAAAAAAAATCAACAAGAGTTGAATAATAATAAAAAACAAAAAAAAAAGAAAGTTTTTATTTTTTACAGCAATTCGAGCTTCATAATCAGCTTGTAAACGTTGTAATACACGTTCAGATTTTGATTGTTGTTGTTCATAATTTTTAATATCACTTTCATATTGTTGAATTCGTCGACGAGCACGATCTAATTCAGCAAGAGTCTAATAAAACAAAAACAAATGAGTATTTATTCATTGAAGGCAAGGTTTGTTTTCTTTTCATTTTACTTCATTCGTTTGTGGTAACGATGTTTCGAGTTGCTGTGAAAACATATTAAATGGTAAAATGCATTTCTTATGCTTCTTTCTCTTACTTTTCGTAATGAATTAACTTGTTCTTGCAATTTTCGTTCTCGTTCTTTATATTCGTTAAGCTCAATTTGTAAAGCACTACTACTTAAAAATGTATTTGACATTCCAACCGTTGTTGTATTGAAACCCGAATCAGTCGAATTTAATGTTTGAATATTTTGACTAACAGCTGGTGTTTTAATTATGGATTTTTCTTGTTTGTCACCATGAGTTTGATTACTGTTTAATTGAAATGATTTTCGAAGTAATGCATTTTCTTGACGAAATTTTTCCAATTCTTCGCGTAATGCTCGACGTTCATCATCATAGTCAAAATTATAGACTGTTTTGCGATTATCGGTTTGTGCAGGTTGGGATTGAATGCTAAGTAAAAAAAAAAAAAAAAACTAAAATGTTGTTTTGTATTAAAAACGTTTTAGTTTTGTGATTCGTTATGTTGAGCATAAAAAACTATTTGATATAGAACAAATGAAGTTTTGATTGATCATCGCGTAATCTCTTCTAGATTCGTAAAAGAAGAAATATTATAACAGAAGTACTTGAGATACTACTACACGTGTGTGTACTTAGTGTTTGAACGTAATCGAATCATTTAACAAATTGAAAAGTGCTAGTATCACTTTTATGATTCGATGACTACGTTGAATAACTAAGTAAACTTGAATTGAACATAAAAAGAAAACTGATACTTGAAGGATATGAGAAAAAAAGATTTTCTATTTGTTTTATATTTATTTCACATTATCATGCAAATAGATCACCTTGTTTCCAAACCTTTATCGACGGTTTTAAGTTCATCATCAACAGCATC